CGCGCCGTGCGGCGGTGCTGCCGCGGCGTGCGGTACCGCGGGTCCCTTCTTGCCCGCTGACCCCTCGCAGCAGCCTAAGCGCCTGCACCGCTGCAGGGCTCTGCCTGGGAATGTGGTTTGCTGAGGGCTTCTGCGCTTGGCAGTGGTATGGGGAAACGAGGAAGCCTCGGCCTGGCTTTGATGAACCGTCCTCAGAAAAATGAGGCACTGGGGCCTCAGCTCTGCAAAGCTGTTGGGCTGAGCACTGCCTGGTGGTGGGGTGGCAGGGGAACAGCTGAGGGCTGGCTTTAAGCTCAGGAGCCTGTGTTCAAGATACAGGCCTAAGAACGATGCAGGGAAAACTGTGAGTCTTTTTGAGGCTGTTGGTGGGGGGGTTTAATCTATATTTTAATGGAGGGATTGCTTTGGGTGGGTTGGCTTTCCTAATTCTATCTTGCTAGGAAAATGGTCTTCATTATATATTGATTAGAGTTTCTTGGATATCATATTTTCAGTCCCCACCAGGAAAAGTAACAGCTGCAGTGATGGCTGCTATTGATGCTGGGTACCGCCACTTTGATTGTGCCTACGTGTACCAGAATGAGAATGAAGTTGGGGAAGGGATCCAGCAAAAAATCAAGGAAGGTGTTGTGAAACGAGAAGACCTCTTTGTTGTCAGTAAGGTATGAATCTTGTGGTATAGAATCCCAGGAGATGCCTGTGTTTTTTATAGTAACCCCCTCAGTTCTTTACTTTCCCACTCTGTGGTGCTTCGTCGAACATGACTTAGAACATTCCTGAGACAAGCTTCCTACTTTGCCTCCTCATGTAATGAACAGTTATGGGAGGGTATGTACTGCAGATAGAGGTGATGCTTTAAACCTTTCATGCAGTATCTGGCCTTCTAGTAGGTGCTTCTTAAATGAAGTCTTAATGAAATCAGACTACTTCTGCTGTCTGCCATTACACCATTCAGTCACATGTGCTGCCACTGTACATGTTGCCCTCAGTATCACAGGCCAGTCCTGCTCACAGGACTAGCAGAGCAAGCCTCACTGGAGGATCAGTAGGATATCTAGTTCCCCATCACCTCCCAAAGGGGAAAGGCGCCCTTCTGGACAGGGCTGAGGGGTTCCAAGAGGTTTAACCCAGGAGGTCACGTTGTGCCTTGGCTTCTTGTCTCTAGCTGTGGTGCACGTTTCATGACAAGCCTCTGGTGAAGGAAGGCTGCCGGAAGACTCTTGCAGCCCTGCGGCTGGATTATCTGGATCTCTACCTCATCCACTGGCCTCTTGGTTTTAAGGTACAGTAACAGCAGTGCCCTTGGCTTTGTCTGTTGGGACTGCCAGTTCTGTAAAGATGTATGGCTTTACAGCCCAGAAATTGCTTCGGTTGATACAAATCATCATGTGTCTGTTATGTGCCAGCACTGCTCTGATGCTTAGTTTTGCTCTGGCCATGAGAGCTAGACTGTTGATCCCTATCTATGAGACTTCTACTTGCATGGCATCCTTAGCTCTTCTGAACATGGAGAAGATAGACCTTGAATAGAGGCTGGTCTGACTGCTGCAAGCATAAGTTATATTGCTCTCCCTTTGATTATTACTTATGTGTTGTCTTCTACAAAACGAAAGTATGCTTAACTGATGGCGGTGTTCCCTCTTTGTGGGGAAGAGGGTTGTGCTTTGCTGCTTGACAGAAATATTCATCTGCACGTTACAGAATAACAGAACCCAAGAATGTTTCTGTCTTCCATTTCTGTCTTTAGTCCTTTAATACAGTACAGACTGAACTGACCTTTGCTGTAGGAGCCTTAGTGTTCCACAGACCTTGGATTTCAAAAGGTGAAACTTTTTAGTTCCTAACTCTTCCTACTGACTGCATGCAAAGGAACTGATGTCTCAGTTTCAATGTTTCTAAGCTTAATCTTTGTGTAAGGAATAAAGATTTTGACCAGGGTCCACTTGTGAACTTCTGAGCTAAACCATTTCCCATAGCATCTGTGTTTTTGAGATTAGTTTCATATGGACAAAACTATCAAAGGGAAAAAGCTTTGTGGTGTAGAGAACAAATGGCTTTGAATGAAGTTGATACCTGGCACATAGTCCTAACTGGAATACAAGCTGTTTTAACATTCCCTGTGCCAGCAACTTAAACAATGAGTCTCCCCATGAAAGATCTGTCAGCAGATCTGGTACAGTATAGACTGAATATGTTCCGGGTCCTAAGTGGATCCTTACTACACATTTTAGTAAAGCATTTCATTATGTCCATGTAAGAACTGTGCATTTTTGTAATACAGAAAGTAAACTTGTAAACTGGCTACAATTCTACAAGTGAAGGGTTCTGTGTCACCATATGTATTTTGATGAGCCAGAGGACACTGTGTCCAGTGGAAGTATATGTCCGTATTGGAATGTCTGTTGGTGAAAATGCTATAATCCCATGTGAAAGCAAGACAAAAGACTGAAGAACTTAGGTAATCAGTATTAGTATTATCTAATACATATGTAAATAACAGTATGTCCTGCAGTAGAAGTTTGTAGTGTCATGGTCTCCAGCTGGTGTTAACCTGACTTCCCACCAGTGTTTCAAGCATTTTCTTTGTCACTGACAGGCAGGAGAGGAGCTGTTTCCCACAGATGACAAAGGCATGTCTATACCCAGCAACACAGATATTTTACAGACGTGGGAGGTAAGTTTAGCCGCGGGAGGGGAATCTTGTCTTCTGTTCTCAGCAGTCTCTTCTGTGTTTTCATTACCTTTAGCAGCCTAAATTCTCATGTACGTAGAACTACTTGGAAAGACTCACTGGTGTGATAGTGGATTGTTGGGTACCATTGTTTCCCACCTGTATCTTGCTGTGAATTTCCTCTGTCTTAAAGAATGAGTCTCTGAGCTTAGGGGAAATGGGAGACATGACACAAATATATTAATGGTGCTGTTTGGGGGGGTTTTTTGCCTCAAACTTGAACTCTAAAAGTCTAATAGCTTATTTTGTGCTTCTCATTAAAGAAATAAGCCATGTCAGGAAGAATGTGTTGTTCAGGTCTTGTTATATATATACTAGATTCTGACTTTATACTACTTTCTGTTAGGCCATGGAAGAGCTGGTGGATGCTGGTCTGGTAAAAGCCATTGGAATCTCCAACTTTAACCGTGAGCAGATTGAAAGAATCTTGAACAAGCCAGGACTGAAATACAAGCCTGCAAATAACCAGGTAAGCTGCAGAGTGACTGCAGGCAAATGTTTGGCTGGTGGTGTGTTTTGGTTGGTGGGTTTTGTGGTTTTGGTTGGTGGATTTTTTGGGTTTTTTTCTTCAAGATTTATGAAGATATTACTGTGAAATAAGGTTATAGAGAGAGAATGGAGTAGACACAGTTAATTCTCTCAATCCCACGCTTTAACTGCTTTTGGATGCACAAGGTGCTGTTATTTTATGGTCTCCCTGCACTATTGCTTGGAAATCTGTCAAG